TGTCTCTACACAAACCGTTTTGGTTGAGTTTCTTCCCAATCCGAGGTTTAATTTGGTTCGGTTAAAATGCCTTTGCCAGTCTCGAAATTGCCACATTTCGTCTCGCATTGTCTAGAGTCAGGGCTGGGCCGTGGGCAGCTAAAGCAAAAGAAAAAAAATGAGCCCATTAACAAAGACATCTTTAAGAACAAAAATTACAAAACTGCATTGAGAAGGCTCAAACTCACGTTCTATGATGCCTTTAACTTCAGTTTTTACTTTTTACCACTACACCAAAAGGAACTATTACGAATTGATGCTCTTAATTTTTGAATATATTGTGATCCCTAAAGTTCTTGTTTGTTAGGTAAGGGCCTGCCCTGTCTAGAGTCAAAGCCTAACTTCAGTTCTAAGATGATGGCTTTGATTGGTTGAATTTTTCTAGGGAAGCACAAATTTTACTATTTCTTGTGTAACCAATCAATAAACAGAATTACAAAAAATTATATCACTATTTTTTACTGTACTATAGTCTCTAATCACTATTTTTACTGTTTATATTTGTACTATTATTTTTGTAGTGCTACTTGTACTATAAAAAATTTTGTACTGCTCTGTGTTACCAATCGGATGCGATATTTTCTATGATATATTTTTTTTCTTATGTCATAGCTATGGCGTCATAGATATTGTGTCATATATATGTTGATAAAGCAAATAAAATATCTTTTTCTAAAAAAACTATTCTTCACGACTTTTCACTTATGGTCTTCTTCATTTGTATTTTTATCATTCTTTAGATCGTCTTTCTATATTAAAAACATATATTTTATATGATATAAAATAAAATCATCGATTTCATATGATTTAAAAGTATTCTTTAGAGCATGAAACAAACAAATTTTCTTAATATGCTATTGTTTACAACTCCATTTAACTTATAATTTCACGTAAAGAAATAACATGAAAAGTATTTTAGTTTGGGAAAACTAACTTAAAAAAATTGATGGATGATTATATTCATGAGGACAAAACTGATTTAAAGTATGGATCCATAATGTTTTGTTGAAAGTTTTAACTTAAAACTAAAACATGAAAAAAAACAAAATAACTTGAAAATAATTCGAACAAAATTACCAAAAAAAATAGATTATGGAGGATATTCCCGAAAGTTTTCATATTGAAAAAAATGAGTTAATATATCGAAGTATTTCGTTTTACCAAAAATATTGTGGAACACACGTTATGACCGCCCAAGATGCAAGGTAGTTTCCTAATCTCTATATAAACCACCTTTTCGAACCCCTAAAATCATCACACAACAAAGTTTGTAAATAGCCATTACATACTTAAGCAAAATGAAAGTCATTAGCTATTCTCGACTTGTACTAATGTTGGCAGTCCTTGTAGGGGCTGTTGTTCTTCCCTCCAAGGCTCAAGATAGCCCACAAGACTATGTCAGTGCTCACAACCAGGCACGATCAGCCGTAGGGGTAGGACCCATGCAATGGGACGAGAGGATTGCAGGCTTCGCTCGGAGCTACGCGGAGCAACTAAGAGGTGACTGCAGACTCATACACTCTGGTGGTCCTTACGGGGAGAACTTGGCCGGGAGTAGCGGAGACTTAACTGGCATCCGCGCCGTGAATTTGTGGGTTAACGAGAAGGCTAACTACAACTACCCTACGAACACGTGCAACGGAGAGTGCCGTCACTATACTCAGGTTGTTTGGAGAAACTCGGTGAGACTCGGATGTGCCAAAGTGAGGTGTAACAATGGTGGAACCATCATCAGCTGCAACTATGATCCTCGTGGGAATTATGTGAACCAGAAGCCTTACTAAGTAGTAATTATTCTGCATATGCATGCATACAAGACGTACGTGCTTAATATATTTATTTCAATAAGGAGCATCATATGCAGGATGTGTATCATTATTAATTAAATAATACAAATTAGTGCTGAGATTACTAGTATACAACTATCCATTTTAAAACCCTGCATAG